TGCCCTAAAGAAAAGCAGTACTGTTATTAGGCCAATACTGCTATAAATGATAAATTAAAAAGGCAACATGAAGAGGCTGAAAAGTAGTGACAGCTAAAATGAGTACATTTTCTCTTTTCTCAGTGTGAGATCACAGTGCAGGAATACATGAACCTCAAATCCTTTTGTGAAATTTGTGCTCATTTTAACTGTCACTGCTGCAGGTGATGAACACTCACAACCTGTTGTTTCTTTTTTTTAAAAAAAACAAACCATAAGGGATAAGTTCTAGTAAGAGAGGAGTAAATATTCTAATAAATATCATCACATAGCTAATGGGTAGAAATTTCAATATATTTTGGAATTTATTCAAGGCCTGTGAGTTTAAAGTCAGACAGATATTTAATCTCTAAAATTGTGGTTGGAAAAACAAGCATGACATTTTTTATGTTTTAGTTGTATTTATTTTGTCAGAATACTTCCAAGTTTGAATAACCACTGTTTTTCCTCCTTGGGTTTATTTCTCAAGGTCTGCTTTCACTATTCATTTCACTAAAAAATTCTAGATCTAGGTCGAGGAAAAAAAATTGCAAATTCAAGATACAATTTCAAACAACTCAAAATGTAGAAGGTAATGGATTGAGAATTCTAGTTTGTTTTATCAAGAAGAAAGAGGTCTTTTGCAAAGTTTAAATCTAAATATATGTGAAGATTTGAATTCTGAAATTAGAGGATATGCAGACTTGACATCTGGTGTGAGATAAGTTTTTGATTTACTTCTTTTTTTGTCTGAATAAGAAAGGATAGAAGTCAATAACCCACAAAAGAAAAATTCAACTTTTCTTGCACAGACCACTTTTTCAAACCATATTCTGTTATTATAGCTCCTTATGTTAATAGTTTCAACATCTCTTTAAAAAGACTTGAGTTTTAGAAATGTATATACAGAGAAATTATCTGCTTGTTTCTAAAATTCTCTGTATCCTTTGCATTCTTAATTTTACTCCCCTGGCTCAATGATTCCATCTTTTCTTTCTGTGACTGGAAGTTCCTGTGGTTTGTATCAACTTCTGACATGATACGGAACTTTTTAGAGAAAAGATCTGTGGTTACCTTTTAGTCCTCCTCCATGGCGATGAACACACAACAGAGAGTTATCATGCAGGGATAAACATTTTTTTTTTTCATTCTTTTGACTTAAAAATTAAAATAAGGTGTTATGTATCTTTTAATTACTAAAGGAATAGTACATTTCTGCTGGATTTGTATTGCTTTGGTCAGTACAGGGACACGTTTTTAATATCCAAAGGAGGAAATCCTTCTCAGAAAGTTAGCTTGCAGTAGACACCCAATGATTGACTCTTCCCTGACTACTATACCATTACTAGACACTGTGCTAATAAAGGTGCTACATTTAATAATGTTTTCCCATGTATAACAAACGAAAGAGCCTTTGGCAATTGAGTAGCTTGTTTTAGCACTCAGTGTCATTTGTCTCCTGTAAATGGTGTGCACAAACTGACCTGCTGCATGAATATTCCGTTTGCTCTTACAAAATGTAGTTTGATACAAGCCATAGGCAAATTTCAACACCTTTCCTTTACAGAGGGGCAATGCAGACTATCCAATAGATGAGAGGACTAATGTGACCTCTTTACATCTCCAAAGTAGGCAAAAGTAAAATTTTCCATACGTTAAAAATAAAATAAACCAAAACAAATAAACCACAAACCACCAAAAAAACCCCCACAAACACCCCTTCCCCCCTCCCCCCACCCCAGGTAATCTGTAACTTTCTATTACTATGGTTGAAATAACATGAATATTGGCTGTGATGACTGTCACTGCCTTTGCAAGCACTGAGAGGCCATCGGTGCTGTCATGGCTCTGTGGCTGTAGGACATGGCTGTTTGCCCTGGGCAGTGGAGAGCCTCCAGAAAGGTGCTGTCATGCTGCAACTACCACTGCTGGGATAGAACGGTTTCCCAGGGGAAGCTGTAGCACACACTATTAAAGGGGAGTAACACTAGTGCATGTTCAATAGCCTCTGTAAGTACCAAAACTGAGTCTTTTCCAGGAGCAGCATTGAAGGGTTAGGGCTACTCATCGCTGCTGCAACTGAAAAGCCCCCTTCCCTACCACAGATTAATTTGCATTTCCATATAAAACAATGTACAGTTACAGCTGTATTTTTGTTATCAGGATATTTTTTTTCTGTGGCTTTTCCTTTGAAAATGTGTTTCTTTTTTAACTCTGGTATATGCTATTCTATCTGTAAGTTTTTCCCCTTTTTTTATTCTCTTATTCACTCTCAATGAAAACATGTGGCTGCACAGGCAACAATGTCTATTTTTCCAAGCTGATTTCTTGTGTGATTTCAACTGGCTTCCTTTGATGTTTCAGGTGTTTTACCTTAGATTCTCGGTACCAGTGTAAGGTGAAGAGCTAATTGTACTCCTGATTTGGTCCTGGCAATTTGGCAATACTGTTTTGCTGGATCTTGTAATTTTGTTCTGGATATAGCATATAACTTAATTTTTTTTTCTAAATATTGATTTAGATAATTTCAGGTGAAAGACTGGTATCCTGTAAAAAGTAATGATTATTTCTTTGACTATTCCAGATATCAGGCTCAAAAATCACCAGAAAATTACAAAATGTAGCGAAAAGAAAGGGAAATAAGTGGTCACCACAAGGAGATTCAATAAACTAAGAAAAAACGCTATTTGCATGTGTCATTGACCAATACCGAATAAGTTATCTTGTGAAATTAATGCTAAGGTAAATATCATGTAATGCATAGAGTAACTAGGAATCTTTCTTTTTATTACCAGAATACTTTTAAAGAACATCTTGCTTTTTCTCACTTTTGAATCATAGTGTGTTTACCCCTGCAAAAAATCTCTGAGGAAAAGAGAATTAGTTTCCAATTCCAAACCTTGCAGCAACAGTAAAGGAGCATCATCAGACCTAGGAGAGCCCTTATTTTATAAAAGAATTTCTTACCTGATTTTTAAACACTGAAAAGGTGGATATATTAGCCTAAATTAGTCACCCTGGCCTCAGTTTTTAGGAATCTATGAAGAGGCACTATATATCAATACATGATGATTCACCACTTCCTAATATAGTCCAGATGAATCATAATTTGGAGGTGCACATTGCTCTTGGTTACTATAGAATAACGCCATGTATTTAGCTCAGTCACAGGCATTTGCCTTCGAGACAGTCAGGTCAGAGTGGCTGAATTTCACCTTTTTGTACCTGCTGTCTCCACCTCTTCCTCATTTGCTGAGTAGAAATGGAGAGCAGTGGATACGGAGGTGAGCTATCCCACCTCAGCCCATTACCTACAAGTCCAAGAATCTGTTGTAATACTTCAAGCAGATGAGTGAAAGCCAATATCTTGTGTCATTTCAGGAGAACATGGTCAATTGTTATCCATGAGATGTGGTTTGTAACTTTTCATTCATTCAGTTTGTGGCTTTAAAACACATTTTACTACTAAAATTTAGAGATGGCCTGAGTTATTTCAAATTCCATTAGTATGTAAAGAAATCAACTTGTTTTGAATGTTTGCTGTGATGTCTAAACTCAAAAAAAATTATGAAAAATGAGTTCCTGAATTTGTGTGATACTATATAGTTGGTGAAAACATACCGAAAACATGAAACAAAATGATATTAATTTCTAAAGTGTGAATATGTCTTTTTGCAATAAAAACTGCTTAAGAATTTTTACTGTTCCTTGCAAATATTTAATAAGAAAGACTTTAAAATGAGTTTAGTATATATTTGCCTGGGCCTGTTCAGTAGCTGTGTAATAAAACAAGTGTAGTGTCTGCATAGTAATTGCTTTTTAATTCCCATGCTGCGTGCTGTGCCAAACTTTTTTGATTTGTTTTGAGCAACATATGGCATTCTATACAATAAAAAGTAAGAATGCAAAACCAGAAGTCTTAATACTGACAAACATTCAACTTACGATGTAAAAACATAGTTTTTTTGTATGGTGTTCATCCGTTTAACTTCAGCTGGACAGCATGCTTCCTTGTGCCTCCATTAGGATGCGACTACAGCACTCATTAACATGCTCTGATTTGAACCTGTACAAATGTCAGCCTTGAATGTCAGCTAATATTGCTGAGACTCTTATTTAGATTTTTTCCAGTGCTGTGACGAGGGTAAAAAATGCTGGACATAAGGTGCTTCTTTGTCCAGGGAAGGTAAAAAGAATTACTTGGGAAAAAGTCATGAGTCAGTCAGTTGCAGCGGACCAGTGTTGCCTGTATCAAAGTAAAGAGGATTACAACTACACAGGTCTTAAGACCAGATTTCATATTGACGTATGAATGGATTTTGAAGAAGAGTTGTCTCTGAGGATAAGCGTTGAATGAATCATTTTTTCATGGGAAGCAAAACACTGTTGTTATTGCAGATACTCTTTTCCAGCTCTCATCATACTGTGATTAAAAGAAATTTTCATAGCCATTGCACTTTCTTTGTGTTTCAGGGTGGAAAGACAGTCATTTTTAGGTATTCCCTCTGTGGCAATGTCATTGCCCTGTCCCTGTCTCGATTTTGCTTTGCCATCTCTTTCTCCTCAAATTCCCATCACACTACTATGAGCAACCCTTGCTATCCACTGCTTCATGTCTAGAGGAGAAGCAGATAAGTCAGTAGCATGTTCTTTTCCAGACACCTTCCACTCAAGGAGGAGAGAGCAGCACTGGTTGTGCTGCTTGGAGCTTCTGTGTGAAGCAGGCAAGGACACTGATATGGCAGACAGCAGGCACTTCTACTTCCTTCGGAAAACACTTAAGAAGCCCTAGGTGGTGACTTCAAAGACCATTTATTCACTGCCCAGAGGAATGAATATTTTGTAATACAAAATGAATCGAATTTCAAAGCCTGTAAAGGTCAAAAGCAGCCTCTGGCCAAACAAGAGGAAGAAGCCATGGGAATTACACCTCTCCATGAGAGGCCACTTTATCACAAACAACCCTTGTGAAGTCACACATGCAAAGATTTAACCACAAACCTCTACAGGGTCTGATGGATGAGAAGTGATCGCTCACCCCTCAGACAGGCAGAGACCAAAAGCACCGAGGTGATGCAGTTTCACTTTACCTGCTTTTGTTCTTTAGGCTTTAATAAGTGTCACTTTAGGCTTCTTTGGTACTAACCTCTCTCGAAATAGGACTGTGAGCAGCCATTTTCATTGGTGCTTAGGCCAGGTCAGAATCTGCAGGTGTGAAAAGCCCTGTGCAGTGATAGTACTCACTCTCTTTAAACAAGTGCAAGAGATGGAGAGCCTGGGAGAACTAACATAAGAACTTGTCACAGTTCAGCAGCCTCCCCCCCAATTATTCCTCTTTGAATTACATCTAATACTCCTTCTATTTGCTGTATGGAACAGTACAGACCTCTGTGATTTTCCAAAGGAATTGAATATAAAGTACCCTGCTGTCACTGGTTTAAGCTCTTGCCACCTAGAGCGGAATATAATGGGTAAGAATAAGCAAAATCATGTAAACATTCAGAATAAAGGGTTAAAGAGAGACTTTGGCTGCCTTATTCAAGACCAATGTGGCACTAGTGTGTATCCTAATGTATTCTTTACCTTATCACCAGATTTCTAGCCATTTCACACATTTCAGGGGAAAAATATTCTTTGATGATTTTTTTATGTCCTAGGGGTTTTTTGGTATCCTGTTGCCAGAAAAAAAAGCCAAACAAATAAAAGCAAGCAAGCAAACAAACAAACAAACCCAAACAGACATCACAAGCAGTGGTGCAGGCTTCAGAAGAGAGGGAAAATTGACTCATAAAAATTTTCTTATTTAGCTTGTCTGGGATGAAAGACTTAATTTTAAAGCCTGCTAATTTGCAGTTTATCCAATGTTTGCTGCCATTTGATTCTGTAGTCCCTTGTCTTTAAAAGCAGACTACTTGTAGTGAGAAGAACCTTTGAATCCAGAGCCTACAGAATTAGTTGGAGATTGGGAAGGATGAACTGGTACTCCTGTGTTTCTGAGCACTGTAGTTCTGTAGCTGTAGGTCACAGAAGAGGCCATCTCTTTCTCTGAGGTTGCTGCTGTTTGTTGGCAGGTGCCAGGGTCTTTGTCTGTGAGAAATGCAATAGGAACCTCACAAAATTCAACAAGGGTAGATACTAAGTCTGCACTTGAGATGGACTAATCCCTTGCGCTGATCCAGGTCAAGGTCTGCCTGACTGGGAAGCAGCCCTCCTGGAAAGGCATGGAAGATATTGGTAAACGGTGGGCTGAAAATGAGAACCAGGGTGTCTTCTGTCATCAAGGAAGGTCAACAGCACCCTGGGCTATATTAACAAGGACAAAAGCCATGAGATTCTATCCCTTTTTACTTTGCACTACATTTGACCACATATACAAAACTGTATGCAGTTTTGGGCCCCCAGTACAACCGAAACATGGATAATCTGCAGCAAGTTCAGTGGAGGGCCACCAAGATAGACAGGGCTGGATCTCTTGCCTAATGAGGAGGCTAGGAAGCTGGGCTGGTTCAGACCAGAGAAGTGATAGCTTAAGGGAGCTTGCCAGGGCCTACTGAAAAGAAGGTCATGCTCCTTACAGTCACACGTACTGAGAGGATGAGAGGCAATAACTTGAAAAAAGAGACAGACTTTATGTAAAGAACAATTTCACTGTGAGGACACTCCAGCAGTGGACAAAGAGGGGATTTGTGATCTTCATCCTTGGAGATTTCCAAGACCAGACTGGATAAACTCTGGAGCAACACGCTCTGATATTCAAGCATGCCCTGAATGCTTGAGCAGGAGGTCAGATGAGAGGCCTCCTGCTATCCCTTCTAATCTCAGTCATTCTGTGAGTATGTGATTATTACCCAGCAGAGGAGTTACTTGATGCTGGAGGCATTTCACTGGTCAGTAAAAGTAGCATACTTCCCATCCTGCACCCGAAAGACTTATATCTAAATGGAATTTAAAAATAAGAAAAATTCAAAAAGCAAGGAAAAAATCCTGACTTAATCAGTGTATGGCTTTAAAGTTAGTTTGTTGAAGACAGCATCCACCTTCACTTGAAGATAATGGACAAAATAGAGTACAATTGTCATCTGGATCAGGTTAAATTGAGGCAGAACTGTTGCCCTGTCATGACCTTCTATGTGAACAACATCAGCACCACTATGTTTCAGCTCCCACCACATGGTGCCTCCAAAGAGAAGAGAGAAGCAGTGCTTTGTAGCTGCCACCTGCGAATCTCTAATTATTGACAGGTACTTTGCAATGGAGTACTAGAACAGGATAATTGCTGGAGGTAGAATTGGCAAGAGCAGTATATGGGAGACATGTTCAATTGCACATGAGTATGGTAGGTGAACTATAAAAAAAGCAAGCCTGCCATTATCTGTTGAACAGCTGGCAACTCTGGGTCTTCCATTTTGTTTACGGCAGAATGGACAAAAGGCTTGTAGTGTCAGCAGTAAAGAGCCTAGGGACTGTATGCCTTGTAAAGGTATGCTGGATGCCTTTATGAGCCATAGCTCAAGCTTTTGTGACAATAACAGTGAGGCATTACAAGTCTATTTGCAAGATTAGGTCTAAATGTCATCCCCAGAGTGCAGTATAAAAACTAATGAATTTTTTTATTCTTTATCATTGAGATCAACATTCTCCGTAGGAATTTGCATTTCTATATGACCCTTGTGTAAGCCAGCTTGCGTGGGAGGGGGATCAATTTTGAGATTCATCAGTAGTGTTGTCTGTCCTACTGAAATATTCCATTTATACTAAATCATCCACCAGTATATATTCCATGTATAACTCTGCAGCCAGCCTTAGAAGTAAAACAAGTACTTGTACGAGAAACACAACTACTACTTTTCGTTGCAAAATGTTTTACTATGTATTTGTGTCTTACAACTGCTCTGCCTCACAGATTCCTCAATATCTACTCTGAGAAGTGAGTTTACACTGCAGTCTTCCACTCATTGGGAGCACTAGCTGGGCTTATCAACCAGATATTTTAACAGACTTTGGCTTCAAGTCGCAGGAATCTTTATACCCCAGCACTTTTTTTGGTTTCCAACAGGTATGTTCATCAGTTTGAACACTCAAAATCATTACTTGAGAATGTTATTAGTTGAGCAGAGGTGCAACACCTATAGATTGAGGACATAATCCACCAGGTCATGAAAATAAGAGAGAGATTGAAAAAGTACTATAAGGATTAAAAACATCTTACCATGTCATCAAATCCGAGATTCAGAGCCTTCCCCCCTAAAAAAACATTGCTACACATTCGAGATTCAAATCTCACTCTTGTTTTAGCAGTGAGGATATTCCTTATAGAAGGATATTATGAAAAGAAAGGATTCTCTCCTCTAGCTTGCCTTCTCATATCAAGAATGTCTGATATGGAATTGGGAGAAGATGAGCATGCCAAATGGGGGGATGCTGGAACCATTCTGCGAAAAGAAGGAGCCAGGAAAGAATGCACAGTGCAGCTGTGGGACCTAAACAGCAGGTTGCAGTCATGCAGGAACATTTCCTTCATTTTAGATTCATCATGCATTTGTTTCTAGAAAATTGAGCCCTTATCTAAAAAGTCCACTTCTAATATTGTTAGTCTTTTGTGTCACTGTTGTCTCAAGTAGTACCTACCAAAGCAGCAAACTTCTCCTGTGCTACTGGGAAAAGCAAACTTTTCCTCATCCCATTAATACCGCACATGAAGTGAAAACCTTTTTATAAATTCCATTTAGGGTCTTATACCAGCCAAATTTACAGATGTTTCACAAAGGTATGCAGAAAGTCCTGGGCATTTTCTATTGACTACATATTTTCTAGCTTGAATTTGTTTTGGATACAGAGATCATCCTTTTAGAGGAAGTCAGAAATGTCTACAGGTCTTCCATCCATTTCTGTATAAAGACTCAGAGAAAAGTCAGCCTAAACAGAGTGTCCAAAGCTAACAACTTTCCTGATTAACTCGTATTATCCAACATGCTGCATTTTGCGAGGGAAAAAAATTCTCAAAGATGAGAGAGAGAAAAACTGAAGCAAACAAAAAAATCACACTTTGAAATCCATCCTTTTGGCAGCTGTCCCTTTCTCGTTTTGGCAGACAGAGAATTGCTGGCAGGACTGGTGAGGGAAGGGTAAAAGACAAATGGTTCATGATGAATCCTTTAACTAAGCTGATATTTCAACACAGTGCCTGCCAGCATTTTTCTTTGGCATATGCTTTATAGAACATACATGACAAGCACTTCGGCAATGTTAATATATTGGCATTACCTGGTTTATTATTCGTCTCCCTCTGAATCAGACCCCAGACTTTCAGGAGACTATCACATAGAAGTCCTCTTTTTTCCCCTAGCATTTATTTCTCTGTGTGCAAAAATGAAACTAAAACTATGCTATCATGATTTAAAAAATCCAACAAACTAGCCTTTTAAGATTAGTATATTAATTATCACTATACTAGCTTTTGGAATAATGTACTACCGGCTTTCAGGAATAAGGTGTATCAAACAGCTCCACTCCTTGGGTGAATCACTTCAAGTAAAATAAAAATAAATAAGATAATTAATTTTTTAGAATCTAAAATAAAAATATAGATTTGAAGATAATTATTGGGTTTTATTATGTTTTTTGTACTGAGGAAAACAAAATATCTCAAACTCTGCGAGGAAAAAGAAAAACAAACAAAAAACCAATCTGGAAACTTCATTTGATTTTCATTACAGTTAATGGCAAAATTTGCATTGCCTTGCACTACACACTACATACATGGAAATTCATTTAATCTGTAAATTTGAATAAAAAAATAACATAGCTACTCCAATGTGTTGAAGAAGAGAATTAGGTTAATTTTTTTGTTCATTCATTCTTTTTTTATTTATTTTTTCTTTCTTGCTTGCTAATTACTTAATTAATTATCTTTTTAACAAATTTCCCTTTGTTTTCCTAAAGTTCCCACAGGTGGCATTCCCCACATTTACCTCTTTTGCAGAAGACACTGCAGTTTCAAGGAGTCAGCCCATGAGGACTTACCATTCACTAAATGTTGTGTCTGCATGATGAAGTATGTATGAACACAGCTGATGGTCAAGAAGATTTTTTCTGACATTTTTTAATTAAGTTGTTAATGCTTAGTTGTATAAATTCCTTATAAGTGTATCTTGCTCCAATATAGCATGACACTGTAAAAATCACTGGTGAGGTAGTAAGTGGAGGAAATGCCATAAGATACATGCAATACAGTGTACTATTTTCTGGTCAGAATTTAATTAGTTCTCCTTCTTTCTAACAGCCTACCTTCATTTCTCACCCCTGCTAACAAAAGATTAAAAATGTAAAAGAAATATTGCAAACTTTACCCTCTGAAATACTATAATGAATTCAGGCTTTATTGCAGGAAATATTGTTTGTTTGTAAGAAGAGACAAAAAAAGATTATAGGTTTGATTTTTTTTCCTTATTTGAATTGATTCTAATGTTAGGATTTATTAATAGAAGGAAACTGAAATGCGAGTACCTAAAAAGGCAATACGGAAGAACTGAACAAGCTATGGAAAGCATGAATAACAAACCATATATTTTTCCTGCCGTGACAGGGCACTGCATAAAAACACCAGGGGATGGATGCAAACAATGTGCTGGTGAGAGTGACAATAAAACAGAGATGACAACATAAAGAGAGAATGATGAATGTGTTAACACAGGTAAGAGAGTTGGATAAAAGATCACGGAATAGTAGAAAATTCACTCTAAGCAGATCTTGAATAGTCTAACAGGAAATAGTGTTATTGTTAGATGTGGATTTGATAGAGAATGTGGTGACAACAGAGAGCGAGAAAATCTTTGAGTTTATATGGAGAGATTTATATTTATGCTTCTGGGTACACATTTATAGATATTTATACTAAATATATATTTTGATATCCTTGCAATAAATTTCTATAACCATATGATAAACTGTATTTATTATAGTTAACACCCTTTGCCTGCCTTACCTGTGCTACTTTCCATTTTCTTTTCAGCTGGTGATTTCTCTAAGCAACTCAGAACTGCTGTCAGAATTGTTGAAACCTGCCAGAATTTTTTTTCTTCTTTTCTTCCCGAACACCTCCAGAGATTGAGAATTCTCCTCCTCTGCTGCATTCTGCTTTGTATCTATCTTGAATTACTCTATTTTGTATTAGTTTAGATTTAAAGGTCCAATATCTCTTATCTATCAAGGATGAGAAAAACAGAGGAATTGAGGCTGTTATTATATGAAAAACTGGCATTAATATAACAGACTGATTTCTTAAAGATGGTATTCCTAAACAGTTGAAAGAAAGATGCTAGTCTATAAAAGAAAGTAACAAAACCAACATTTTTTTTTGTTTAAATGTTGATTTTCATTTCAAAAGATTAATAACAATAAATCTATTGAAGTTACACAGTTTTTAATAATGGCTACCTGCCCAGGATTAGTCTCTAAAAGTGTTGTTTTTCAACAGTTGAACCAGCAAAGATGAAAAACCATTGACTATAGTAGGTTTTATATTGTGCCCTTAGATGTATACAGGTCTACGTAATTTTATTCTATTGCTTGTTAGCACTCTCATGTTTCACCTCTTATGGTTGCTCAATGAGTGGTTCTTTTAAAAACCTTTCTCTTTATGCCATTATTTTCCATGGAGTAATATTAGAGATATAGAGATCCCTGATTGCCTTTTTCAAAATACATGTCATGTACTTGAAGTATTTGTTTGATATTGAATGGAACACAGCAGCACTACCTAGAAATCCTGGAGAAGAACTGAAGGACACCAATTTCTTCTGATGCTATAAGTAGCTTTTAGAGAGATTACTCAAAGAGGAAGAAAAAATTACCAAACTAAACCCTATGGCAGATGCCTACGCACAAATTAGGAAAACTTGCTGTGACAGTTTCAGGATTGCTGAATTATTTTCAGGGTTGTAGAGTTATGTTTTATGTTTTCCCTCACACACAACATTTTTAATATTGTAGGTCAAAGTTTCACTGGTCAGTGGCATTTGTTTGTCAGCAGTGATTCAGTAGACAAACTCGGCTTGATGAGTCATTAGTGAGGGATATCATATTTACACAAAATCACTTGGCTGAAACCATCAGTCCTAGAGATTAAAACTAGGCATTAATCACCTGTAAGGCTAAGCATGAGCCTGAAAAATAGCCTGAAAAACACTAGAATTTGTGTATTACAGCATGAATGGAGGTGTCAGAATACTAGTTATAAAGGATTACTCTACACAGGAAAATGTTTGTCTTGGAGACTTTTTTATTGACCTTTGATATGCTTTTGGTTTGAAAGACGTGTTAAACAAAGAAAGCTCCAGTCTTTCAAAACTCTCACAGCTCTATAAATAACTCCACATAAAATGTACAGTATGTATAAACAGCATGACAAAGATTTTCTGACAGGATTTTCTCTACGGTAAAAAAGTGAAGTCAAAACATCCCATTGAAGGCTGCTATTTTGAAGAATTCCTAAGAATACAAGTGCTTACGAGCTGGCAAACTCTCCATGAGTGAGAGTGAGTACAAACAATGAACTTCTATGAGACTGTAGCCATTCCATCAAGATCTAAATGCAGCTTGAATGGACCTTAGCCAAGAAGCGTCTGCTCAGCATTTAGTAAAGCTTCAGCTAAGGGAACCACAGAAAAAAATCCAAACTGTTCCCGCAGTAAAACTATCTGCCAGCAACATTTTTGAGAGTTCACCATCTGGGTCCTGCAGCTATCAATCAGACTCAATGTGTCACTCCAGCTGTCCTTCAAGGCTCCTCATGGTCAAGGTAGAACAGTTTTGAGAAAATAAAACACAAAAATTGAGAGAACACAAACAGCTGTCGAAAGCTTGAGTAAGTCAGGGGGCAAAAAACTCACAAATATTAAAAGACACTCAATTGCTTCATTACAGCATTCAGATTGACCACCTGTATGTCTGAAATTACCCATTTTCCATAATACATATTGATATTTTCTTTTAGCATTCTGTTTTAGTGGATTTGGGGTTGTTTTATAAATGTGTGCACAAGTCCCTTTTACTTTTGTGGGAAATTAATCCACAAAAAACAGGTCATTAAGTTTATTTTCTACAGGTTAATGTGTAAGAGCTCTAGATTGGCTCTTACTGTCACTAGTAGTGGAGATTTTGACTGGAGGTGAACTCTGAAAGATTCTACCATTGTGAATCTCCCACCTGACTGAAAATTAAGGTCTTTCAAATACGTGTGCATGGTTGGAAAGATTCCTTTGGTAATGGAAATAAGTAGTAGCTGGTACAGGAAATGAGACAGGAAAGTTGATATGTGGTAAGAATTTCAGAAGAGGTAGGAACAGTTATTGAATTGGCAATTTAATATCTATGAGCAAACAAAAATAGAGGGAAGGCAGAACTAGAGAGACAAGAAGCTGATGGTTGAAATAGCAAATCTAACATTCTGAGTAGAGTGTATTCAAATGTAGACAGTCAGAGATAGAAGCCAGAACCATAAGTAGGGCTTTGAAAATTTAGGGAGAAAAAAAGTTACTTGATTTAGTAAACTTGGGAAACCAGATAAAAATTTCAGCAACAGCAGTGGAAAGCTGAACAGGCAAGGAAATTAACGTATTTCTGCTTCATTTTTCACACAGAATTACAGGAGAATAAAGCAGGTTTTCCGTCCAAATATGGTTGATTGCTTTTTCTATCTATGTTACCTTGCAAAAGACCTCCAATATTTTTTACACACTTTTAGGATGTTTCAAATGTCTGTGTGGTGAAGACACTTTTGTTTGATTTTTTGTTTGTTTGTTTTTAAATAGTTGGCTTTGCTTTTTCAATGGTTTTAATAAAACATATGTATTGGCATCCAAGGTTTGTTTTAATGTACAATTTAGATGCAATCATCTCCGTATGATGGCTTTACTTAATGTCCAACTATAAATAATCTTGGCCTGGAGCAGATAAAAAGTGTTCTGTAGAAATAAAAAAAAAAATCATGAGTATTATTTATTTTTTAATTTTCCTTTTTAGTGTTTAGAGAGATTTATTGTACTACAATTATTCGATACTCTATTTTTACAAAGCTGAGCTGCAGATGGTAGAAACTGTGTGCAATAGTTCAACATTTTCTATTCCAGGTGTTTAAACAAATGTTTCTGTTTCAGGATTTTACAGTAAAAGAATGGTACTCACATAATCACTGGACCATTTGGCTTGGAAGGGACCTCGTGGTATCATCTAGTTGAAGTCTGGTACACAGGACTGTGCCATTTTTTTGCTGTTGTTCCACATATTGCAAAACAAACTAAGGGATGCCCAGATACTTCAGAAGATCTAGACTGAGGAGGAGAATGAGAAATGGCAACAGAGAAATGTAGAAGAGAAGGATGAAAAAGTGCCCAGTGACCTGTTGTTGCAGGCAACTGTGTCTCCTAGCCTGTCATAGGATTTCTTTTGCAAACTTTCACAAAACCTTCAGAAGTCTGGGCACACTGAGAAGATCAGATTGTGACTCATGCCAAATGAGATTCTTACAGGTGAGGTTTCCAGGCATTTACCTGAGTTTGCAAGGAAAAGCTAAAGAGAAACACGAGAAGTTACAAGTTTAATTACTTTTCTAGTAAAATAGAGTAAAACAACTGAGGTGCATATGGCTTTAAAAAAATAAATAAACCTTTGGGTTTAAATACACTTCCAAAAGCATTATCATCACTCAGACTTGTCAGAAAAAGAATATACTGCAAAAACTCACATGACATTCATGAAGCTGTGATTTAGTCTATCATTATTGTTAACAGGTTTCTCACCTGGGTACTTACTGGAGAGCGGAGGGATTCAATATCATTTAAAAGACAGTTTAGAACAGCGATAACTTTTGCACACACATCATTAAGCATTGGCCAAGAGAGTTCATAATGTCCTTCCTACATCTGTGTATTTTTTAGAATAAAAGTGGAAAATGCTTTTGGCAAAAAAAAGTAATAAAAAACCTCCCTCACTATATAGCAAATAAACAGAAAAGGCTCTTTACGTAAAGAGCTGTACAAGCACTTTACACGAGGAGGCATACCTACTACTGCATTTCAACTAAGTAGTATAGCTTTTGCCCACTACAAGGGTTGCATGACTCGTGCTTTGACATCACAAATATTGACATCCTGATCAAAGTAATTGGACTGTATTCTGCCCAGTTGTGGCTGTTATCAGAGAGCAGAGCCTACTTCTCATTGATTCCTGCTGATTTCATGCCAATATGAAGGCATGACAGAAATAATGACAATGCAGAGTATTTTTATTTTGAAAAGAACAATCTGTCCGCTCTTGTTCCCTCTGGGGTGGAATAGCAAGCAGTGCATCCAAATATAGAGGAGAAGATGACACTAAATGAATTTACGTGTTAAATGGCATTTTATTTTGTCAGATTCCTCCATAAGTCATTAACTATTGTGTTCTCCCTCACAGTTAATAACCTGGTCCCTGTAAAGAAATTACTCTCCTATTCTGTGATGGAAAATGAAGGCTGAGTTACACATATATTCAAAAATTGCCTGAAATATTTATTTTCCATATTCTATATAAACCATACACAGCACTGGCATTTGTCTTACACAAGAATGCAGAAGTTAGAAGAGTTACTGTAGTTAAATCCCAAATCAGAGCTAATTCTTTAAAATACTACTCTTCCCTTTTAATTCTTTAAAATACTACTCTTTCCTTTTAGTTTAATTAAATAAGAGCTTCCTCACTCCCCTATGAGTCAAGATAATTAAAGAAAGACCTATATTTGTCAGTGAATCTCAGAAATGTTCTAATGAGTGGATAAGAAGCATTTGTAATTAACATGCTAATTGCTTGTATGCAAACGGCCTGTTGTTCAAGTGGTTTAAAAAGTACTTGAAAACAGTTTGTTTGCCTTCCCTCTTAAGCACACTAAGCATTCCCACTTGCAGTCTTATTTACATTATTAATTTGCTTAGCAAATATTTTTTTAATAGCTAGTGCAAATAGAAGGAGTGGAAGCCTGATTTGGAGAGCTCTTGTGAAGAGTGTTATTTGCTCCAGTTCAAGCAGATGAGCAGACTGAAATGTGAGTTTTTCAG